GGCATCCATCTCGGGAGCAAGGATTCCATTGTTACAGGCTGAGTCTCTATTGGAAGACAGTGCAAAGTTCTCTTCCCCAGTAGGAGAAACCACCCCGACATCACAATTACTGCTCATCAGAGCAACTTTCTGCTAGTAACACTGTGGATCTAGGAAACATTTCTAGCAACTGTCATTTCCAGGTGAACTACTTTGATGTTAGAAAATGTGTTCCCCCGTAAGCTTCCTGGCCCAGTGATTAATCTCCATAAGGGCACTGCTTTCAAAAGGATTGGAAGGAAGATTTTAAAAAATGCTTAGTTTAGCTAGGGAAGTAGGTGTCTTGTTGAAGACAAGTGGAGAAGGGGAAAATGATTGTGCCTTAGCTAATAAGTATGCAGTTCCTGGGCGGTGGTGAATATACTGTCCTAGCTATCTCCACATGGAGATATTAACTGTAAGTCTGAATACATGTTAACATATTTATGTGTGTATTATAAATATTTATGTGCAGAAATGTATCCATATATAAGTATTTATATATTAATTTGTATTTATATACACACATGAGTGAATACACACCTATAAATGTGTACACATAGCTATATATAAATGCATATGTGTACATACTCACTTATTAAGTTAATTAAAATTGTTCTTAGGGAAGTGAGTCCTTTAAAATCTATTTTTGTTTGGGGCATTTGAGTCAGGTTCTCACTTTGTAGTTTAGGCTGGCCTTGAGTTCACTGTGTTGCCCAGGCTAGGATCAAGCAGGTCAGCCACTCATCCTGGTTCCATCAGAAACTGTTGGCTCGCTGCACAGATAGCTTAGAGTTTGGGGTCTCTCTTCAGTTCATTGAATGTGGGTCTGGAAGAGATTTCACTGTTGCCATCATTAACTTCTAATTTGAAGATATGGCACATAATGACTGTCAAGAATGTTGTAGTGATTCTCCATATGTGACTCACCCTGGAGGACAAACTCATTTTAGTGTCTGTCTTGCTGTTTGCTGACCATGTGACACAGGAGTTGCACTCTCTTTGTCTACATAAAGAGTCTGCCCATTCCTCCTGATAAGAAAGGTGACAGCGTTCAGCAGAAAATTAAATGATTGGTGTCCCTTACATCCTTTATTATGGAAGAGTCTTACAGGAAAACTCAGTAAAGACATTCACATTACTTTTTTATTTGTACAGTAAGACTTTGTATGCAATTATGTCTTGAACATTCAAAAGTCATCATTTTACAGTTCTGGAGGTCATAAGTACATCTCAGTCCTTAGTGTGATAGAGCCAGGATGCTGTCAGGATGAACTCACTCTGGACGATCTAGAAGGGAATCTGTGATTCTTCAGCTCCTAGAGGTGTGCCTGAGACTGTGTCCCTTACCTTTCCATCTGTCAGAATTTTATCTCCCGGCCCCTCTCTAGGCTGCTCCTGTGTGTGCTGCCTCCTTGTGTGCTTTCCAGATGTCAGCACTGAAGATCCTCAGTCCACAGGAATTAAGGGTTCCCCAGATATTCTACTTCACAGTCAGTTAATTTCAAATTCAGTTCATTAAAAGAAGTCTGTTTCTGAAGAAGAAAAACTTGCAATGTGCTAACTAATTCCATTCATGCATCCACTTTCAAATGGAAATAAGCACTGACTGTTCTTTGAAGCATAGAAGCAATGAAGATGAGTCTCATGGACCACTTGTAATTGTTGAAGTTCTGCACTGGATCTTCAAGTTGTCTCTCTATGAAGTGGCCTTTCTTTACTTGCTTGGTATGCAGGTGTTTACTGCGATAACAGACATGTTGAATGGTATCAGGTAAAGCACCTGGTGATGTGGGTGGTGCCATGCACAGATGTAATGGGGATGCACCAAGATGAGAGCTTCACCTACACTTGAGAAACCCACAGAATTATGAAAACAAGAATAATTGATATATATTCTACAAAGCTTAAAACAACCTTTTCTATAGAGAAAAACAACAATTCAAATAGTTTGTGATGTTCTCATTACAGGAAAGCTGCATATGAACATGTGAAACATCCAGAGAGTTTATGCAGGGGTAGGCAAGCAGTGAGTCTTAGGTGTGTTTGTAGTGAGTGAACAGAGTGCACCCTGGAATGTCTAAGGATGCTGGACCTGCTCTAAAGACCAAATAGGTTTTTGAAGATGTATGTGTGTGTGTGTGTGTGTGTGTGTGTGTGTGTGTGTATGTATGTATGTATCAAAATCAATAGAAATATGTCCTGAAATGTTTACTTTTCATAAACATAAATTTTAATACTACATAACTATCCTAAAAGGAAAAAAAGTCCCATGACCGTGGATATGCTCTAACACTGAGCTTCTTGGACCCCAGTGCAAAGAAAGTAAAGTATTATGTTATAGATTTCTCATTTGTGGAAGAATTCCTGTTCTTAAATCTGGCTCATTGTTTTTGTAGTGCAAAATTTTGAGGATCATGTTTCTCTCAGGGAATTGCATGGGAGTGTTAAGAACTGAGTTGAGTAATAGTCTTAACTATAATTTCGTAGACAATGCAAAAGTAAGATCTACATGGTATTTTGCTCTACAGTTGGAGACAGTGCATACACAGTGTTAAATGGTGAGACTGGAATATGGACCTGAGCTCATGTGCAAAATCTCATCAGTGGACAGAATGTGGTCTCCCAACAATGAGCCCTAATGTCACTTGATTTGTGGACTTCCTAAGCCTCGGGTGATGTGAAGGTCCTGAACCTGTCTGAGAGCTGATTAGAGCATTTCAAGAGCTGAAGTCTTCATTTGCTGGCAAAAAACTTAACAATCCTGATGCGTGAATGCTTGAGGGTATCTTTCTCTGGCCAGAGGTTTTCTTCCCAATGGAGGAGGTATGGAGGAGATCTCATCAGATGCAGCATGACATCCCCAGCTGTTCATCTTAGCCATCCTGTGTAAGTCAAGGAATTGTCCCCAATGCTGTGATTTTTCATTTGAATGTATGAATGATCCATCTCTCATATGAAACACAAAATAATGATAATAAAAATAATTCACCCAAAATAAAGAAATACATGAAATCAGCTATGTTCTTAAAGTTTTCAGTGATTTATTGCTGTGGTCCCCAAGACCCAAGCCTGGTTGCCATCCTTGGCTGCTGAGTTTCGAATCTGGTACAGAACCCTGAACACTCCTCATGTCCTGATCCATGTCCACAGATTCAGAGGAGACTGGTCTGGTGATAGATGAAGATGGGAGCTTTCTTCTATCTGTTTCTTCTGTTTGTGGATATTTAAGAGTGAAGCCAGGCTCTCAGGATCCTAATGAAGCACTCTGCCACTGAGCTAAACCTGCAGTCTTGGAATTGGGACTTTTCTGAGCTCTGCAAAGAGTTCCTGTGTGGTCTGCCCTGCCTGCTCTCTACTGACTAACTGTACATCTTACCAGACCTGCTTTCTCCCAATGTCTGTTCCCTTGGCCTGCTTTTTACCCATGGATTGCTGAATTCTTCTCCTCCTCACTTCCTTGCCAGGTACCATTGCCCCTGCTCATCAGGCTCCCCATTGTGACTCTGACCCTGATGAAAGTGTGGTGGCTCTTTCACTTAGAAGGTGGTATCTGGAAGTGGAGCATTTAATCATGACCGTTGTGATCAGGTGCTGGGTTGAGAGCAGGAGTATAAGCGGATATCACAAGATCATTAGCCCACATTAGACACTGGGTTTTGTGTAACATGGAGAATGGTTTGTGTTCTGTACTTGGCTGGGGTAGGGTTGTGTGTGAGGTTGGATTCTTATGACTAGAAGAGCATGTGAGGAAGACAACAGAAAGGATCTTGCACAAAAACTGTTCTGTGTGAGCCTGTTTTCAATAATTGGACAGATTAAATGTACAGAGCTTCCTCAAATATCTGTGCTTGGTGGAAAGACAGCCTGTTTAACAGATAGCATTAGGAAAACTGGCTACACAGTGAGAATATTCAGCCTAAACCTGTATTTCTCATCATACAGTAAAATATAATAAATATGAATCAAAAGCCTGGACTTTAATACAGAAGCACTTAATCTTCAGGTAGATAATAATATAGATAAAATTTTGAGGGCATAAGAATAAATAAAGCCTTTTTGAACAGAACCCCAGTGTACCAGAAATAACATCAAGAAACAACAAATTAAATTCTATTAAATTAAAATGCTTCTGTGTAGTTAAAGATGCAGCTGAAAGAGTGAAAAAACAAAATGTAGAACGAGGAGAATTCTTTGCCCCATGCTCATTAGGAAGGAGATTAATGCTGACAACATGTAAAGAACTCTAAAATAAACAGACCTCCTAAATAAGAGTCAATCAAAAATGGGTAAATGAAAGGGTCAGAGAGTTTTTAGAAAAAGAATAATAAGTTTTTAGAAGAAGAACAATAAGTTATTAGAAGAAGAAGAATAAATGGTAAATATATAAAGAAATTTTCAGTATTACCAGCTCTGAGAAAAATGCAAATTAAAACAACAGTGAGGTTACATTTTCTCACAGGAAAAATGGCCACCCTATAGAAATCAAATAACACGAAATATTGATGAGGCTGTGGGGAAAAATACACTCTTCTGTTTGGTTGGTAGAGATGGAAACTAGTACAACCAGCATGGATCTCTATATGCAGAGCCTGCAAAAACCTAAAAATAGAAATTCAGCTTGACTCCACTCTTCTGGTTCTAGTTATTTTCCACAAAGGGTTCAGGACATCTAATTACAATGATTCATTCACAGCCATGTTCAGAGCAGCACAACTTATAAGCACTCAATATTGGATGCAGCTCATAACTATGGACAGATGAATGGATATAAAGAAATGTACTTACACAGTGGAGTACTCCAGAGCCATAAAAATGAATGAGTCATTTGTACGAAAATGAATGCAGCTTGAGACCCTTATGTTAGATGAAATATATCAACACACAACCGTACATATCCCATTGTTTCTCTTAGATGTGAAATCCAAAGTATTAATAGATTAAATAGCAAAATAAGACAGATAATACAAAATAAGCTGCTAAATGCTCTGCAAATTGATAGGGAAACTAGAGAGACAGGGAAGAGAAGATAAAGGTTGCAAGAGGAATTAAAAATAATTAAAATGTGTTATGTACATAATGCCAACTACCCACACTGTACATAGAAGTACAGCAAGTGCACATTAATAAACATAACATATGACAATACAAGCTTAGACCTAAAAACATTCCACAAAGTGTTTAATGTTCTACCTATTAAATCACATACTTATTTTCTTGATCCTGGCTTGATGACCCGGTGTATAGGAGAGTGTAAGTGCTACCCAGGCGGAGGGGATACCAGGAAGCAGGAAAGGATGGCGACAAAATAAGGATCATTCAACTTCTCTCATGTCAACCCCAATATGTGATGAGGCAGGGTCACAATTTAGATGCTCACCTTTGCCTTGCTACATTGATGAGAGAGATGTCACAGGACTAAAGTTTCTTTTAGCCAGGATCTTTAATCACCATGGAGTCAGTAAGACTAAGATCCCTTCAAGAAGCATCACTTCTTGATGATCCATGGAGTCTCAGGAGCTCACTATTGCCAGCCCTCAACTTTGCTATTCTGAGATGCAGGAAGCTCTCCAGGAGCTGCAGACAGGCTGAGAGAAGCATGGTCACCATATACCCATTGGATTATCATGTGGTATAAAGAAGGTGCAATATCGATTATAAATCATGAGACACTACAATTTAATAGTCATTTTAGGCTAAATTTATTGTGTGTCTTGTTTGGCTTTATCCATTTTCTTAAAAAAAAATACCCAGAAATTTGAGGGCTCAAAGGAACCCCTGGAAGAGAGTTTCAGCCTTCTCTCTGTGTCAGAGGCCTCAGCAGAGCACAGGTCTTGGCTGCTCTGCTGTTTTCCTCACTCTCAGGCCTGGGCAGAGGCCTCAGCTGCAACTTATTGTTCTGATTCTTCAGTCTCTTCCTCTCATGCAGAGAAGCCTGTGCTGTGGGTCTCCCCAGGCAGGGAGCTTTGTGTTTGGTGCTCTAGCACTGTGGGATGAATATATAAATCTTGCATACAATAATAAACCCCATCATCCTCAGCCTCCACCCTGCTGATATTCAGTGTGAAATCTGTTCCTGACCCACTGCCACTGAACCTGTCTTGGGTCCAGGATAACTTTTTGGAAAACAGAAAAATTATATACCTTGGAGCCTGGCCTGGCTTGTGCACCACCCAATTCAAATAGGTGTTTCCATCACTATGTAGGAGGCTCTGATTGAACCTGCAGGAGATGGAGGTCAGCTCTCCAGGGCCACAGACACAGAGAGTGGGGTCTGAGTCATGACAACATCTCCTGTGGATCCTAAAATGATGAAGGAGAAGTGAAATATCAGGAAGGAACATTATGAGCCATTTTGATAGATTTCTGTTTTATCATTATCAAGTGAAGTTAGTATCTTTATTTTAAAGTGCAGTGGAAAATTTTCAAATTTGAGATTGTATCCAAGGTTTTTAATCACAAGGTTCCCTCTAGAATTCATCTGGGCAGCCCTCTCATTCTTTGAGGCAATCTTCATGAGAAGCCTGGTCCTCAGTCCTTCAGGAATTTCCTTCCCTCACTGATCTAAACTCACACTCCCATGCTTCAAGTCAGGGATGTGCATCTCATGTATGTACTGAACTTAGCCAGGCAGCAGATGAACCCCAAAACTCACCCCCTCTCTCCATGCCCCTCCTCATCTCCTGGTGTCCTTACCAATGATCCAGAGCAGTAGCAGCCCCAGGAGCTGAAGAGGGAGCCTCATTATGAGAATTGGGACTGAAGCATCCTAATCAGGTAAGGCAAAGCTAGAGCCAGATTTTATGTGAGACTTGCCAGGGAATGTCCTCCCTGGGGCAAAACGAAAATTCCCTGGTGGGTGCAGTGGTGCAGAAAGAGTGAAGAGCATGGGGGGAGGCTTCTCATGTGAGCCCAGTGGTATAAAATCTCTTCTGTATTTGGAGGAAAACAATAGAGCTACAGTCCATGCTGTGTGCAGCAGTGGGTACAAGGAATTCTTGGAAAACCTGTGTCTCCATAAGGGACACAGTGTTTAGGGCCGTGCCCATTCCAGACAGGACTGTGGTCCCCAGGATACAGAGATATGTGCAGATCACTCTCTGGGAGGGGAAAATTCATGTTTCTTAGCCTGCATCTTTTGTCCATGTGGATGTGCAGTTGAGATCTGTTTGTGATGAGGTAAGCCTAAGCAAAAAGTGCTTCAGGGAACCTGCAAAATATACGAGGTGCCAGATCTGTCCTGTACCTGAAATACAGGGGTAAATATACAGCTGTGATTTCCAAAACTAGAATAAGCTAAGGGGAACCTGCCCTCACTGATGATTACCTTGGCGATGACCTGTGTGGTGCACAAGATGATTCCTCACCATTCTCTTGGCTGATTGCTGTTCTGTTATGGCAAGCAAAGCAGCAATAGGCAGATTGGGACAGTCAGATTTTGAGTGTGTGCGTGTGTGTGTTGTGTGTGTGTGTGTGTGTGTGTGTGTGTGTGTGTGTGTCTGTATGTCTGTGTAGTTTTTATTTTCAAGATAACATGGTAGAGAAGATTGAGGATAGTGTGTGGTGACTGTAAGACAGAAATTGTTTGAAATATCTGGAAACTATCACTCCAGTGATGATAAAGAACACACATTTATAGCATGTGATACCTTCCTGTGGCCACTTGGAATCCCTTCCCATCCTCTCTCCCATATGGTTCTTCGCCTTTTCTCAATATGAGGAAGGTGCAACCTTTCTGCACATAGTCTTTTCCTTGTTTGAAGGCCAAATACAATCAGTGTGACCTTGTCAATGATAGGGAAAAGACACAGCCCAGCACCTCAGTCCACACCATGTGAGAGAGTGCGCTTGTGCTGGACTCAGGAATGGACCACTTGAAACTTCCAGCTGAACTGAGTTGCATGGCTCTGGGTGCGGCACACCTAACTGAGGATTATTACCAACAACATCAAAGCAGAACTAAAGGGGAAGATGCTGTTTTTCTCCTGGTGAAGGTTTTCACACTGGATTTCCTGATACGAACTCACTTGTCCTCATTGTTAGAGGAGCTCCTGTCCTCCCTGTCACTGAGGACAGCTGTGGTTCTTTTCAAGGGAACTGGGTCTTTCCCCTCAGTGTGGCTTCCTGGCTCCAGTGCAGAGGCCCACATCTGCTGGCATTGGTCCTTCACCCTTCTGGGTAAGTCTTTCTGGTTTCCACCACTGATCTTTGGGCTACTGAGTGCAGATCCCTGATGCAGACTTGTATGATGTATTGTCATGTCCTCTAAGCATTAGCTGGATATGAGTGGACTCTGTCATGGGCTCTAGGTATATAACTGGACAGGTGGAGAGCATTGCTGTGAGACCCAGCCCTTAGCTGGGTTCTATGCATGTCTAGTGTGTGGATGGATCTCCTGCATAGTTTTTCATTTGAAACTTTGGGTGCATATGATAAAATATTGCTGTAAATTATGTGTCCTGTGTTAATTCCTTTGCTTTGCAGACCCTGAGAATTACACCAACTTTTATTGTCTATATAAAAGCCTAAAGCCAGCTGGGTAGACTGGCACATTCCTATAATTCCATTTGGGTTTTGGGGCTACTTGGAGAAATTAAGAAGATTATTTTGAAAAATATTGGAAAACACTGAGGCTGTCAGTCAGGGTGAGTACATTTACCTGAGCTTACTGGAGGCTCTGGACTCCATGCCCACGACCAACAAAGATTTGTAAAGTCTTATCTCTCACCATGGTCCCTCAGTAGGCAGATTATTAGCTTCACAGTGAAGAAATATGGGTGTCATCAAATCCTTCACTCAGCAAGTGAGTATACTTGCTGAGGATAACTCAATAACACTTTGTGTATTTTCATCCACTTATTTGGATCAAAGGAAAAATTTTGAATTTCTTGTAATAAAAGACAAACACCTGACATCCTAAATGCCATTTAAAGTAAGTCAGGCAGTTCTACTCTAAAAAGATCAGAAGACTTATCTACAATTGTCTTGCTTTTCTTAATAAAACGGAAAACTATTTTACAAAGTTAAACTGTGCAGAACAAATTTCTTTTGGAATTTTCTGGGGGCGCACATTATGGTAACTGCCACCTCCATCCAAAAATTTTAGCACTCAAAATGAAAATTCTAGTTGTTTACACATTTTTAAAAATTCATTGCTTGAATTAGTTTTTCCAACTCCCAATTCTGGTTGGAGCATGTTGCTATGTGTATTTTTTACTGTTTTCATTCATACTTGAATTATGAATTTTTTGGTCTTTGTTGATATAAGATTTTGCTGTGCAGTTCAGGTTGGCCTGGAACTCATTTTGTGGTCTAGGATGACTTAGAACTTGCAGTGACCCTACTGTCTCAGCCTCTCAAATGCTGTTTTATAGGCAGTTGCTCCAACACCTGGCTCAGATTTTGAATATCGACAATTTCTGACCTTGTGGTCTTTTGTTCTTAAAGTATTATCTATAAACTATTTACATTGTGAGTTATCACTGAATGATGCCAACTATTGCCCATCATTGTTTCTTTTTGTGTCACTAATCCATTTATTTTTTCCCTTTTGATTTATTTTTAATTTCTTGTGTTGCTGGTTTGCTGGTCATGAATTCCCTTAATGACTCCTTGTCATGGAACTTCTGTATTTTTTCCTAAACATGGAAATATATTTTGGTAGGATATTATAATGTGCATTGAAATGCTTTTGAATTTGATAACTCCTCTAGCCTCTCCTGGCTTTAAAATTTATTTTAAGAAATCTGCTGTTGTTCTGATAGGTTTATCTTTTGAAGTTACTTGATATTTCTCTCTAGGGGTTTTTAGTATTCTTTCTTTGTTCTGATTTTCTTTGATTTTTTTCTATAATGTGTTGTGGAGAGATTCCTTTGTGAACGTATCTCCTTGGGGTTTTAAATGCCTCATTATCTGGATGTTCATTTCAGTGTCTAGATTTGAAAATTTTCTGCAATAATTTTGGGGAAAAATGTTTAGAACTTTCCTTTGTTTCTTCAGTCTTTTATTGACTTCTGTACTGTTCAGGTTGTGTCTTTAGAGTCATTGATGAACTCTAAGATCGATTTTTCATCATTTCTTTTGTTACAAGAAGAATCCCTGAGATATCTACTACACCCTTCCTGTCCTGAAGTTCTGGTACTTTCTCTTCTAATTGGTCATGTATTCTGGCACGGTGCTCAGCTGTGCTTTTCATTTCCAGGAACTGTGCTTTCTTCATTTTTACAACCATCAATTATTTCCTAGGTCATTAATTCATATTCTGAATTGTCTTGTGGCATTCAATCAGCTGTCTGTGTCTTCTTGAAGGCTGCCAAATGTCTTATTAATTAAAATGTTCAGCTTGTTTACATCCTGTTTGAGCTCACTGAACATGGTATGCATTTTCTTCTTTGATTTCTCCAAACATTTGACCATTTGGTTTCTGAGTTGCTTCCTGGACACTTTCTCCACTTTATTGACTGCCAGATAGATTTTTAGGAGTTACATCCTTTTTAAGCATCTTATTGAGTTACTTGTTCTATATTCCTGTTTTTATCATAAATGTTGTAGATCAGTTGGGCTAGAAACTTCTGCTGTTAGAGATAACCAACAGCAAACTGCAAAGAGAAGAGTTTCTGGTAATATCTACCTGAAAAGAACATTAAAGAGTTTGAGAAACAGTGGCATTAGGTCCTCTCTAATTTTTTTATACAATTCAGTGTGAACCATATGGGCTTTCAGATTTATTTACTTGTAGGTCTTTAATTACATCTTCAATTTCATCAACTGAAATTGATTTATTTAATATTCATATCTTGTTGATTCAGCTTTGGTAATTGCTATATCAAGAAATCTGTGTATTTCTACTCCATTTTCCATTTTACTGGCATGTAAGCTGTTGAAAGAGGTATGTATTCTGGGAGATCAGTTGCCACTTCACCATTTTCCTTCCTAATTGCATGGATTTGAGACTTTTCCTTCTTTCTTTTGATTACTCTGGCTATGGATTTTTCCACCCTGTTTAATATTTCAAAGAGCCAATTTTTGCATTCATTGATTCTTTGCATTGTTTTCTTAGTCTCCATTGCATTAATTTCTGTTCTGACTGAAAGTTTCTTACTTCATGTGATCTTAAATCTGACACGCTCTTGTTTTTCCTTAAGCTAGATGTTCAGCATTATGTTTTCTCTGTGAGCTTACTCTGTTTTCCTGATGTGGGTTTTCAGTGCTATAAATTTTCCTCTTAGGACTGTTTTCACTGTGTCTCATAAATTCTGGTATGTTGTATTGCCATTATCATTTAATTGTAGAAGCTGTCTAATTTCTTTTTAAATTCCATCTTTGACTCACTGGGTATTCAGCTTGGTGTCATTTAATTTCCATGTGTTTATGAACATTTTTTTGCCTTTTTGCCTTTTTATCGGTACCAGGGATCAAACTCACGACTGCCTGCTTGCAAGGCAGGTGCTTATGCCGCTGAGTTAAATCCCCGGCCCCTGAACTTCTTGTGGTTTCTTTTTTTATCTACCTGTAGCCAAACTCAGAGTCTTGTATTTGCCAGGCAGGTCCTTATATACTGAGCTATATCCATGGACCAGCTGTTTTGGTTTCTTTTTAAAATTTTTAAAAAGATACTAAGACAAAACAGAACAGAACAATGTAAGCAACACTGTACTTCACCACTAGACAACATGATATTAACAGTAGTACCATTATGTCTCTTTCTTTGAAATAGTTGAGCACACCTTCACATACAATAGTATCAAACATAACAAAATAGTTTAAAACCATTAAAGAGAATGAAAGTATTACAGGGCATGCAGAACCAAGTAATAGAGAATGAACAACGGCTACTATATTGTCTCATTGTCCAAAAAAATTAGTTTATATTATCACGCATATTTAAAATCCAGTAAGATGCAACATAATAGTACCAATGGAAACAGAAAAACAAAAGCATGATAGGACTTCCAAGCAAGATGATATTAACTCATCAGTGGATATCATAATGTTTTGTTTTCTTCAAAATAGCTGTTCATACAATCACAGATAGTAAAATCAAACAAAACAGAATAAAACTGTTTCAACTAATCAATGAAAACATTATAAGACTTCAAAGCAATGTAATGGGGAATCATGATAACCATAAAATCTTATG